TTTTAAACGTACATAAGTTCCTGTTACAATGTCTTTGGAACTAAAATTCTTTAATTTTTTTTCTCGTGTTTCAGAACCTTTTAAAGAAGCAAGTGGAGACGAGAACAGCGGACGGAAGAAGACGGATCACTCCACTTTGTATCGCTCAGCTGGACACGGGGTAGGAAAACCTATTAAAAAAAACCTTAGATTAAATGTTGCAGAGTTGGTTTGGATGATTGTTCCAGATTAAAGCTTTATACATTTTATACCAAACAGAGTTCTTGTTCCATGTTTCTTCTGCAGGGATTTCTCACCAGCTCTGTTCAACAGTGCTCCTATTCTGCCCTCGGGCTCCTCCATGTCCAACCAGCTGGCCCCCCAGCTGAACTCTGACTCCAGCCCAGGACAGCCTTCTTCTCTGGCTCTCAGGCCCAACCAGGACGCTATGCTGACCTCACCGCCTGCCAGCAGCGTCAACAAAGGCCTGGAGGACAACAACGATGGGTATGAGGACAACATTTAAACATCATTTAATCTGATCTTTCTTCCTTTCAACTTCACTGTTCTGCTTTCAGAGTGAAGTCCAGTCTGCTGCTCACATCCGCCTCTAAGATCGAGCCCATGAAAGCCCTGGACTCCCGGTTCACAGAGAGATCAAAGGCCACCCCGGGGATCACGTCGGCCATCTCCTCCACTGCAGGACTCACGCCTCTGGAGAGGTGAGCAACTCAGGGAGAGAACCGTGAAGAAAGAAGTGACAGAAAACTCATCATCTCTCCTTCTCTTCACGCAGCAGGCCGAAGGACGGCGGCTCCGCCCTGAAAGACGCCAAAACCAAAGAAGAGACGAGCAGCGACAGCGAGGACAAAATGGCGGCCATCAACAAAAATCTGGTGTTTGGGAAGAGAAAACCGGAGCTGCTGATGGAGGGAGGAGAGGTGGTGGAGAAGAGGAAGAAAGGGCGGCCGAGGAAAGACAAAATGGCCGCCCCCGTCCCTCAACCTTTCACCCAGGTAAAAAGAAAAACATATTTGTCTGGTTTAGGCATGAGACGGGATGAAATTATGATGTATGATAACCTTGGGCAAAAATATGATTTTGCAATATGACTGTATTATTATTACAGCTTTAAATAGTTTTATTTTGAAATTGGTATTTTTAAAAAAAAGAACATCTTTTCTATTATCATATTCAACTTTAATTATCTTTGGAAGCTGTTTTTAGATCTCACAGGAGTTATGCTGAAATTGTATTTACCTGTGTGCATTTATACTTATGATTTTTAGCACCTAATGCAATTAGGTTATCCTTATAAAGTTTACATCCAGTAAGATAACTGCTTTTCTATTGCTTTATTAGTTAATACAAATCAGTGTATACTGCTCAAGTCTTTTTATTGAAGTAATGTATCACGTTGGGAGTTTTTATCGTGTTTTAAATTTCAGAAGGGTTTTTCACGTAAAGGTTATATAATTATATGCACAAGAAACAAGAAATCACAACTATGAATGCGTTCAGCTAACGAGCTGCTCGGCTAAAGGAGGCATTCAGTTTTATCACCTTTCACTTCAAACTTGTCAAATACACAATCCAACAACTCCGTTTTGCAGACAAGTTGTGATCAGCGCATTAAACCGCAGCAACACGGTGATATATTTCACAATCTGATGCTAACGTTAGCTCGTTCATTTCAAGATAGCATAAACTTTACCTGGAGCTGCGATCATGTTGTGTTCCCTCCACAGTCCACAGAGTGCAGACCCCTCCCCCGTGCACCTGTCATCAACTCTGCAGGGGTGCACGGGGGAGGGGTCTGCAGCTGCACAGACCGGGAGCTTATACCGTAGGAACGGGATGAGAGAAAATTTTAGTGGTTCTCAAACCGTGACTTTTTCATATCACAAACCGTGTTTCCATCAAGGCTTTTTGATGCACATTTAGAAGTGTCGCATTAAAAATGCTCTTTAATTCGCGAAAGAAACGTTAAATTAGCCGTTAAGCTGTTAAATGGTTCCATTGTCCCGAGATGATTAGCCTCTGCTAGTTAGCAAGTTTCACTTCCTGTTTACTACTGCAAAGCTTGTCGCCGACATCTGACGTAATCACGCATTGCGTAGCCTCGTTTATTTGCATCAAACAGTCAAGAGGGAAACTAGATGGAAACAGTCTAGATTTGAATTTTTATTTATTTAATTTTTTGCGAATTTTGAAAAGTTCGATAAAAATTCACTCTACAACTGGATGGAAACACGATTACTGTATACCTTGAAACCGGGTATTTGACCCATGCCTAGTCTGGTTTATGACTGAAAACGTAAAGAAGAATTTTTATATGTATGCTTTATTATAGTTGCACTGTTTTTGTCTTTGCAATCTACTTTTAGCTAACATTTGGCTACTTCTAACTGACCTTTTGGTACTTTTAGCTAACATTTGGCTATCTCTAACCTTTTTGGTACTTTTAGCTAACACTTGGCTACTTCTAACTAAGCTTTTGGTACTTTTAGCTAACATTTGGCTACTTCTAACTAAACTTTTGATACTTTTAGCTAACACTTGGCTGCTTCTCACTAATCTTTTGGTACTTTTAGCCAACATTTGGCTTCTTCTAACTAAACTTTTGGTACTTTTAGCTAACACTTGGCTACTTCTAACTAAACTTTTGGTACTTTTAGCTAACACTTGGCTACTTCTCACTAATCTTTTGGTACTTTTAGCTAACACTTGGCTACTTCTCACTAATCTTTTGGTACTTTTAGCTAACATTTGGCTACTTCTAACTAACCTTTTGGTACTTTTGGTTAACACTCATCTGAATGTAAAGCTCCACAGTTGGATTAACAGAGAGTTTGGTCTTCCTGTCAGATAACTTCTCCACCTGAGCGAGAGCCCAGCAGGGTGGGGGCTCCTCCAGCTCCGGTTCTTCTAAAGCTACCAAGTCCAAGTGTAAAAAAGTCCTTCAGCCTGCAGGTAACATGCTGACATTTTCTCTCTGCTGTCTTTACAGTTCACTCCTGAACGATGCTTTACGGTCAGCGCCTTCCTGTAAATGTAATGTGTTTGTTTGCAGGTGAGCATGGAGCCGTCGGTGATCCTGGATGTGGAGAATGAGGTGTCTGTGGTTGCTGGTTCAAAGCTCAGTCAGCTGCGATGCTCCAGAGACGGACGGGACTGGAACACCCTGTTGCCCAGCTCCATCGTCGTGGCCGCGGGGAGCAGGTAGGAGGCGCGGCGCCGTGGCGTGTTCAGCCGTTTTTATGTCCACCAAAATAAAACATGCTCAAATAAAAAGCACTTACTTGAAAAATAAAAAATAAAAATGTAAATGTTTGAATCTGTTTCTTCTCCCTCAGCGACGTCCTTGCCGTCGCCTGTGAGGACAGGATGTTGTCGGTGTTCTCCTGTTGTGGGAGGCGGCTCCTCCCCTCCATCCAGATGGCCACGCCCATCTCCAGCCTACATTGCTCCGCCCACTTTGTCATGGTTCTGACTGCTGGAGCAGCGCTGTTTGTCTGGTCAGTTCTTGTTTTGTTAGAAGTTTAGTGAGGTTTTTTAAAGCAACTTTTGAGCTTTTTGTGTAATTTTTTGTCAAACTTTTAAAAATAAATCTTTTTTATTTCCTTTTCGTTTCTTTTTACTGATCGTTAGGTTATGAATTCTTTATTTATGTACATGTATGTAGGGCTGTATGTAATATATATATTTTCTTGTTAATGGCGGAAGATGTTATAAGATTTTTTTTTTCTTCTTTCTGCTCCTTTTCATTTTCATTTTAATGACGTGTTTGTGTTATGGTTGAATTTTGTGTGTTTTAATTAAATGAAATAAATTAATTCAAAAATATATTACTATTATTATAATCATCATCATCATCATCATCATCAAAATCATCAATATATTTGTGTTTCTTGCAGGGATGTTCATAAACAGAAGGCTTTGGTGAAAAATGAGTCGTTACTGACCATTTTATCTGGTGAGTGCTAAAATATAAAATCTGCAGAAGCAGTTTAAACATACAGAAGAAATGATTTTTAATAAATAAAATTATTAGATGTTTTAAGTTAGTTATATGAAGCGTTATGTTTGACCTGCAGGTGCTGACACTACAGTGTCTCAGTCTCTGCTGACTCAGCAGGGAATCCCGGTGGTGGGGTTGTCCAACGGGAAGTCTTATTGCTTCAGCTCCTTGTTGGAGTCGTGGTAAAAACCCAAGCAGCACAGAAACACACAGCCGACAGGCTTTGTAACGCTAATGTCTCATGATTTCCTGTGTTCCTGTCAGGACTCTGATAGCAGATAAAGGAGACTCTCTGGTGCAGTGCGCCGACTTCAGGAGCTGCCTTCCTTCCCAGGATGCACCTGTGTCCTCAGGACCTCTAGCTGTCATGCAGGGCCGGAACCTCAAGTATGGGTTTTAATGTTCTGAACCGTCTCCTGCGAGCTGCCGCGGCTTCTTACTTTCATTCAGAACCCGTCTGCTCCTCCTCCCGCAGCGCCGGCCGGTTGGCGTCCCGCCTCTCGTCCACGCCGCACCACCTGCAGCAGAGCATGACGCTGGCCTTCCTGGAGAACCAGCTGGCGTCCGCTCTGACTCTGCAGTCGTCACAGGAGTACCGCTACTGGCTGCTCATCTACGCACGTTTCCTCGTCAACGAAGGTACGGAGGCGCCGGCCGGGTCCGCCGACCGTCGCAGCGTTCAGGTTTTAGTTCTTCCTAACGGTTTGTGTTTTCCTTCCAGGCTCAGAGTATCGTCTGCGGGAGCTCTGTAAGGAGCTGCTGGGTCCCGTCCACAGATCGGCTGCTACGTCCTGGGAGCCCACCACTTTGGTACGACACTGCTCCACGCTTTACCTTCAGCTAACATGTCAGGGTTTTCACAGATGCTTAAAAAGGCTTAAAAGGCTTTAAATTTATCAATTCAAAAATAAGGCCTTAATAGTGTGAATGCTGTAAGACATTCACACTATGCACTAGATTCACAGCATTATAGTGAGTTTAGTGCTTTACAGCGTTCACACTATTAAATCATTTTTTCTTCCATAGGTTTTTCAGTATCTGACTTATTCCACAATCTTTGTGCTCTTTCAACAATTCATATATGAAAACGTTCAGCTTATTCATGAGGGGTGCTATGACTATTGGCATTTCAGTGTTTTAAAACAGTTTCAGCTATTTCACATTTTTTAGCCACTTTTTTGCCTTAAAAAAATGAATGGATCTGTTTTCAACATCCTTAAAATCCTTCAAATGTTTCTAAATCTTTACAACATCGTACACATTTTGTTTTGGTTATGCTGCTTTTCACGTTCTTGTGCTAATTGTAGCAATTTTTGTTAATTTTAGCTTTTTTCTGCTAATTTAGCTAAAATTCAGCTTCTTTCCACTATTCTTTTGCTTTTTTCTACTTTTTAAAAAAAATTCTGCCACTTGGTGCTATTTTTGCTTCTTACAGATGCTTTCTGCTATATTTAGCTATTTACTGAAATTTTAACTAATGTTTAGCTGCTATTAGCTAAAGTAAGCTTTTTTTAAGCTAAACACACATTTTTGTAGCTATTACAACTATTTTCAGATAAGTTCAGCAAACTTGTGTTTCTTATGCTTTCTTATGGTAATTTTTAAAATTTCAGCTACTTTTTAGTTGTTTTACTAAAAAATTTAGCTGTTTTAGCCATTTTACTACAAATTATCACTTTTTTATACTTCTATACACTTTTTCTGCTAGTTTTACAATTGTTTATAATATTTTCTCTATCTGGGTGCTAATTTCACCTTTTTCCTACTAGCTTTAGCCTGTTGTATGCTAATTTTAGCTACTTTAGGTATAGATCTGCTTCTTTCTGCTATTCTTCCGCTTTTTCTACCTTTGTGATTTTTTTTCTGCTACCTTGTGCTGTTTATTTTTCTTAAATGTTTTCTGCTATATTCAGCTGTTTGCTGCAATTTAAGCTAATGTTCATCTGTTATTAGCTAATTTATTTTTTAGGCTAAATACACATTTTTGTTATTAGAAATTTTCGGCTAAGGTTAGCAAACTTGTGCTCCTTATGTTTCCTTATGTTAATTTAAAAAAAATTCCAGCTACTTTTTAGCTGTTTTACTGAAAATGTCAGCTGATTTAGTTATTTTACTACAGTTTATCACCTTTATGTAATTTAATTTTTTTCTCCTGTTTAACTATTTTTCAACTATAACTATTTCAACTGGGTGCTAATTTCAAATTTTGGCTGCTACCTTTAGCCTATTCTATGCTAATTTTAGCTACTTTAGCTATAAATCTGCTTCTTTCTGCTATTCTTCAGCCTTTTCTACTTTTGTGCTTTTTTTCTGCTGCTTTGTGCTGTTTATATGTCTGAGATGTTTTCTGCTATATTCAGCTGTTTGCTGCAATTTTAGCTATGTTCATCTGTTATTAGCCAAATTTAATTTTTTTAGGCTAAATACACTTTTTTTTGTAGCTATTAGAACTTTTTTTGGCTAAGGTTAGCAAACTTGTGCTCCTTATGTTTCCTTATGCTAATTTAAAAAAAATTCTTGCTACTTTTTAGCTGTTTTACTGAAAATTTCAGCTGATTTAATTGTTTTACTACAAATTATCAATTTTTATTTATTCATTTATTTATTTATTTAACTATTTAACTATTTTTCAACTATAACTATTTTAACTGGGTGCTAATTTCAAATTTTCATCTATGTTCAGCTATTTTATCTCTTAGCTTTTAGCTGTTTTCTGGTTTTAACTAGGTTTGTGCTCCTTTTACAGTTTTTCTGCAAAGCTAGGCTTTTTAGCTTCTTTCATCTTTTCAAAGTGAGCTCACATTAACAGGTTTCCTGTAAAATATAATCAATTCAGTTTCAACAGCTTTTAGCTGATGTTTTCAGCAGGAAGCATTCACATTTCATTTTCACAGGAAATACAATTTCTCTAGTTAGCATTAAGATTAAACTCTAATTTACAAGTTTGACCTTAAAACCTGTTGTTTACAGTGAAGAGGAAAAAAATTATTTGTATTTTGTAACAGTTGAACCATTTTTATTATTTAAGAGCAGATCGAACCCTGATTCAGAACCTTATGAATCTAAATAGAATAGATTTAGAGGATTAACCAGGAAACCCAACCTAATCTTAACCACCAAGAGGATTTAATTTCATTAATCATTACATCCAGTTTAAAAGGAAAAATGTGTTTTGTTTTTGTCATTTTTGTGCTCAAAGAAAAGAGGTTGTGTCGCAGATTAAACCATAAATTCTGCTTCAGGTTCCTGCAGCTGCTCTGACCTGTACCAGACTCACAAACTGTGCCGAGGTCAGCGGTTTCCTCTGTGACCCTTTGTTTCCTGTTTGTTCAGGGGCTGCGCAAGCGGGAACTCTTGCGGGAGGTTTTACCCGTCATCGGCGAAAACCTGCGATTTCAGAGACTCTTCACCGAGTACCAGGATCAGCTGGAGCTGCTGCGCAACAAATAACACGCACTAATCCACACACACAGACTGACCTGAACACACACACACACACACAGAGACTGAATCCGGAAGCTGAAGCGCTGCTGCAGCCGCGGCCCGATAAACACAGCCAGGCTGAGGCTTCTGTCGTTTGTTTTCCTTCAGGTTTCACTTTGAAATCAACGTTTCTGTTTTTGTTGTCTTTTTAAATGTGCGACCGGCACACCTGCCTCTTATCCTGCTAATCATGTTGAGGGAGGCAGATCCAATCTGAGTTTCTCTTAAAGGAGTCAGAACGTATGTTTTCAGCAAAGGGACGTTTTAACTGTAGCATCATGAAACGCCGCTCGGTTTCACGCTGCTACAGTTAAAGAGTGGATTTAAAAAATGCAGCGGAGTGTTTAAAAATACTCAAAAAGCACTTAATATTTTGTTTATGGCAAACAAAAGAGCATACAATAAACACTTTTTATTTTCTACAGCGAAGCAGGGAGCACCCGAGTCATCGCGTCAGAATAAACAATAAAATGCAAAAAATGATAAAATCAAATGTTTCTTTTTCTTGCTCTGCAGGACTCCTGTGTTACAGACTGTTAAAATCAAGTCCGCTGAGCTTCAGCTTCATTGTTAGAAATCAGATCATGAGTCTTTCTATTTAAACAACTGCAGTTGGAAGTAATGAAGTAAAAAAAAAAAAACACACACAATCCTGACTTTTAAAATGTTTTTTTGTTTTATTTTAAGTTATTTGAAGTCGGTCGTGTGAAGCAGCTGCTGCCTCCGGCAGGTTGTTGAACATTCAGCTGGTTCAGCAGCTGCAGGAACACTCCTCTGCAGCTCAGTGTTAACCCCACCAAACATTCATCTGTACAGTCTCTTTATTTGTGGGCTTTTTTTTTTCTGCTTATTTTTTTGTTGTCATTTTCAACTGTTTGTATAAAAATAATGTCCTTTTTTTTGTTTGTTTTGTTTTTAATAAGAAAAGGAGAAAAATATAGAAATTAGCTGAATTTTTTGCTTTGGATGAAAGAAGGTTGGAATAAACGAAGGCTTTGGTAAATTGTTGTATGTTTTTACTTGTGCTGCTTGAAATAATCTGATTTAGTTACATTTGTAATCTCACATTCAAGCACATGCTTAAATGTATCATTTTGGATATTTTTAATGAGTGGTTAAAATCAGTGGTGAGATGTAACAGAGTACAAATACTTTGTTGCTGTACTTAAGTACATTTTCCATATAGCTGTACCTACCGATAAGTAGATTTCTTCATGGGTACTTTTGACCATTACTCCACTACATTTTACATTAATCGTATGTACTTTCTACTCCACTACATTTCTGTAACGCGTTGAATTACAAATTGCATTCATGTCACGTCGCATTTTTTTTTTAAGTAAATCCGTGGCGAGAGGGGATTTGCTGTAATTGGTCCACTAAACCACTGCAAAGCAGGAAAGTACCTTTAGATCCTCCTGGGTCTGCTGGAGCAGGAGCAGCACGCCCAAAATAGATTCGAAGGAAATGCGCCATTCATGGCCTTATTTAAAAGACTTCAATCTAACCGGTTCAAAAAACAACTTGTTGAGATTTGATAAAGGACATTGGTGAAAAATGCTTCTGTAGCTGCTGTCAAAATCTGTGATGATGTAGAATCACAAGTCTAAGTGAACAGTATCACAGAGGGTAAACACAAAAACATGCACTATCTACAGCATTGTTCACTAAAATGGCACCATTGATGTGTTAAAAATATGCACACAGTAGGCACACTTCATAATATTTTAGACCTGTCCTGGAACAATTATTATCAATATAAATTATACACCCACCGGCCACTTTATTAGGTACACCACGCTAGTAACGGGTTGGACCCCCTTTTGCCTTCAGAACTGCCTCAGTTCTTCGTGGCATAGATTCAACAAGGTGCTGGAAGCATTCCTCAGAGATTTTGGTCCATATTGACATGATGGCATCACACAGTTGCATCCATGATGCGAATCTCCCGTTCCACCACATCCCAAAGATGCTCTATTGGATTGAGATCCGGTGACTGTGGAGGCCATTTGAGTACAGTGAACTCATTGTCATGTTCAAGAAACCAGTCTGAGATGATTCCAGCTTTATGACATGGCGCATTATCCCGCTGAAAGTAGCCATCAGATGTTGGGTACATTGTGGTCATAAAGGGATGGACATGGTCAGCAACAATACTCAGGTAGGCTGTGGCGTTGCAACGATGCTCAATTGGTACCAAGGGACCCAAAGAGTGCCAAGAAAAGATTCCCCACACCATGACACCACCACCACCAGCCTGAACCGTTGATACAAGGCAGGATGGATCCATGCTTTCATGTTGTTGACGCCAAATTCTGACCCTACCATCCGAATGTCGCAGCAGAAATCGAGACTCATCAGACCAGGCAACGTTTTTCCAATCTTCTCTTGTCCAATTTCGATGAGCTTGTGCAAATTGTAGCCTCAGTTTCCTGTTCTTAGCTGAAAGGAGTGGCACCCGGTGTGGTCTTCTGCTGCTGAAGCCCATCTGCCTCAAAGTTCGACGTACTGTGCGTTCAGAGATGCTCTTCTGCCTACCTTGGTTGTAACGGGTGGTTATTTGAGTCACTGTTGCCTTTCTATCACCTCGAACCAGTCTGCCCATTCTCCATGACCTCTGGCATCAACAAGGCATTTCCGCCCACAGGACTGCCGCTCACTGGATGTTTTTTCTTTTTCGGACCATTCTCTGTAAACCCTAGAGATGGTTGTGCGTGAAAATCCCAGTAGATCAGCAGTTTCTGAAATACTCAGACCAGCCCTTCTGGCACCAACAACCATGRCARGTTCAAAYGCACTCAAATCADCTTTCTTCCCCATACTGATGCTCGGTTTGAACTGCAGGAGATTGTCTTGACCATGTCTACATGCCTAAATGCACTGAGTTGCCGCCATGTGACTGGCTGATTAGAAATTAAGTGTTAACGAGCAGTTGGACAGGTGTACCTAATAAAGTGGCCGGTGAGTGTATAATTAATATTAATTATTGTCTTGCAATTGCAATAAATCCCTGTTGACCATTTCATGGAGTATCTCCATTCTTGGACCACGTATTTCTGTCTTTGTTAAATAAATATTTCCATAACATTTGGCGTCACGAACGTTTTCCGCGCTGGAGCTCCAAGGGCCGACACCAGAAGATCTCCCTCTGATAAGCCTCAGGACTAAATTTTATTTATTTTTTTTTTTTTTGAGTGAATGAGGAGCTGATGGTATGGACTCGGACCATGACTCCTCGCTGGATAAAAGAACCTTTGTTCTGGCAGAGACACGGTGAACTAAACTTTATTGTATTAATACCAAATTATATTTAATTCGGCACACTGGATAAGAAATTCTTATTTTTATTTTCACACCCTCTGGTTCTGAGGAATCATTTTTCAGGCCAAAGAAGGGCCTGAATGAGGGGTAGGGAATACATTAAGCAAGTAAGTACTTTTTTGCTGTTTATCTGTACTTTTACTCAAGTACAGTGTTTGAGTACTCGCTCCACCACGGGACTTATCTGATCTGTTCTTTTTTGGTTTAACAATCAAGAATTGATTAATATTCAGTGATAAATGTTTAAAATTTGAATTGCTTCATAAAAATGAATGAATTTCATTGCATAACAATAAGTTACGTCTTTAAGACAAATTCAGTCTGAAACTTGATAACTTTTGGTGACAAAATGATCTGATGACTTTTAATTTTAAAATCATGTTACGGTTCTAAGACAAAGGACAAAAATGCTGATATTAAAAGAAATGTTTGGTTAAAAAATGGCTACAATTCATTTAGTTAAAAAACAATTTGAAAATAATCATGAACTTAAAGTAGACACATCCTGCTTTTAAATTATTTTTTTACATTTAAATCATTCATTTGATGTTTTTATAAAGTGGAACTACAACGCTTTGGTCTGAATTCCTCCTTACTCTATCATTACCAGCTCCTCTTTCACCATTTTTCTGCTGCCTGTCTCAAAGCAGCTCGTTTTGTTACTGTTCCTTTAAGATGCTTTAAGCCCCGCCCCCCTCCTGCTTCCAGACCAGTTAGAGATGAGAGGTGGGACTTACGTTTTGTAGTGTGGCGACACTAGATGGAAACTCAGGTTTTTGTGAAAGTTTAATTTTAGTAAGTTGCTCAACAACGCCACCCTGGGAATTTCACCCAGAGATTACTACCTCTTGTTCAAGGCACACAGGTTCAATTATGCGAGGATTAAAACATCTGAGACAGTTTCCAACTTATAAAA